ATTTATAAACATATTTTCTTAAGTTATATTAAATTTAAACGTTCAAAAATATTGTAACGGGGTTTTTTCTCGCAGCTATACTATTATTTTTTATTCCTTGGTTGGCCGATGGAAGCTTGTGGGTTTTTATGTTCTAGTACAGCCATTCCAAGCTACTTGGGAACTTTTGTAGCGTCCGTTACAATAAAAAATTGTGAGTAAAAGCTACCGTAATTAAATTAAATACTATTACAATAGTTACCATTGCAAACATGTTTATTATGCTTGTAATAATTAGGCTTAAGCTTATAAACATCATAGTTACGGTAGTTTTACTCACAATTTTTGATTGTAACGGACGCTATAAAAATCCCCGAGTAACGTGGAATGGCTGAGTATGAGTCACTCGTTACAAATGACAACTCTGATCTAACCTTTAATACGGTGATGATTGCAGCTGGCCCCGTTTAGATGATATCGGACCAAATAGGTATATTCACACACTGAACTCAAGTCGAATCACCCGAAAAACTTCACACCGTTCACTATGTACTTACTTTTCGACTTACAGTAGCAATAAAGCGATATTTTAAACCATATAAAAATATTAACAAGCAAAGAATTAAAAGTTAAAAATAAAAAGATTAAAAATCAAGAAAAATTAAGTTGAATTAAATTAAGAATATATGATTAAAATTAATCCAGAGATTTAATTAAAAAAAAACTAATTCCCAAAAAAAACTAGAACTCTAAATTTAGAAATTTAACTAAAAGTATAGTAAAATAAAGTGAAACAATACAAATAGATAAAGTATCGGAGTAAATCTAATCTAAACAAATTGGTTTGAAATACAATAAATACTATACCCGCGAGCTGTCAAATTAATTCTAAAGCTGGTTTCACATTTGAAATGTATGTTTATTAGCGCCACCAGCGTCCAACTCAGGAACTTAAAAATTACTCTCGGCGCGTAGTTGTAAATTTATTCTCTCGCCAACGAAATATTTTTACGCGAGAAAAATATCTTATTTTTAAACAAGAAATTATTTTCTCGATTTTTATGTAAGAATGTCATATTCTCGCACGCAAAATCGTTGAAGAATGAAGCTCATTCTTAAACGATTTTTGGTAACATTTAGTTTTTAAGTATTGGTACCCCCAAAATGTCAAACTGTTTAATAACCTCAAATTCATTACTTTTAGGATTATTTATAATAGCTTTGTTTGTTATCCTGCACTAGTGCAACCTAAACTACACTTTTATTGAAAATGAAGCCTTTATTATTGTTTTGTTATATTAAGTTTGCTCCAACAATGCATTTTAATGCAAAATTTTAAGTTTAATGTGAAAAAGTGCAGTTCAGGTTGAACTTGTGCAGGATAACAAATATTGACAAATAAATGAGCCAAACAGGTCAAACTATATTTTATTGGAAATATTATATACCCACAGTACACAAAACACAAAACTACTATAAATTAATCACTAGCACAATAGTTATAAACTTGTATTGGAATGTTCGGTGTTGCTTGTAAAACCTCCTGTGACATTTTTCGCTGCTAAAAGTAAACACAATTGTTCAAAAATATCAGAAAACATTAAAAAATAATACAATACTTACACAAAACCCTATTATCCAGTTGACAAAAACAGACAGATTATTAATAAATAGTAAATAAAAATACCTGTCCATGCAACTGTCATTTTGTGTTGCCAACTGACATTTTGCGAGAAAAATCCCCCAACTAACAACGGCCACAAAACAATTAAAAAATCCTAAATAAAAGTTAAAATCGAGAAAATAGTATAAATCACACGTTGCAGAAGGCTATTCTCGCACTTATTCGTTCGTCCACTCGCTCCTTCGTCGCTCGAGGCCAAATTTCGAATTCGTGCGAGAATATGTGGCCTTCTGCAACTTGTACTTTAATATACTATTCTCGATTTTTATGTAAGAATGTCATATTCTCGCACGCAAAATCGTTGAAGAATGAAGCTCATTCTTAAACGATTTTTGGTAACATTTAGTTTTTAAGTATTGGTACCCCCAAAATGTCAAACTGTTTAATAACCTCAAATTCATTACTTTTAGGATTATTTATAATAGCTTTGTTTGTTATCCTGCACTAGTGCAACCTAAACTACACTTTTATTGAAAATGAAGCCTTTATTATTGTTTTGTTATATTAAGTTTGCTCCAACAATGCATTTTAATGCAAAATTTTAAGTTTAATGTGAAAAAGTGCAGTTCAGGTTGAACTTGTGCAGGATAACAAATATTGACAAATAAATGAGCCAAACAGGTCAAACTATATTTTATTGGAAATATTATATACCCACAGTACACAAAACACAAAACTACTATAAATTAATCACTAGCACAATAGTTATAAACTTGTATTGGAATGTTCGGTGTTGCTTGTAAAACCTCCTGTGACATTTTTCGCTGCTAAAAGTAAACACAATTGTTCAAAAATATCAGAAAACATTAAAAAATAATACAATACTTACACAAAACCCTATTATCCAGTTGACAAAAACAGACAGATTATTAATAAATAGTAAATAAAAATACCTGTCCATGCAACTGTCATTTTGTGTTGCCAACTGACATTTTGCGAGAAAAATCCCCCAACTAACAACGGCCACAAAACAATTAAAAAATCCTAAATAAAAGTTAAAATCGAGAAAATAGTATAAATCACACGTTGCAGAAGGCTATTCTCGCACTTATTCGTTCGTCCACTCGCTCCTTCGTCGCTCGAGGCCAAATTTCGAATTCGTGCGAGAATATGTGGCCTTCTGCAACTTGTACTTTAATATACTATTTTCGCGCAGTTTAAATTATTTTTCAGACTGGATTTTTTTTCTCAACAGTATTTTTTTCTCGCGTAACAATTTAATTATGACACAAACGGCGCCTCATAGAATTGAGTATTTCTGGTTGTTAAACCTTATTAACTCAGTTTGATTTAGTCTACGCCTGCCTTTACTTCAAGCTATGCTTGTGAGGTTTATCAATCTAAACTTACTTTACAGTGGCTGATCGAGACTTATCTTTTAATAAGTCGCAGCGCTTCCATATGTACAATACAATACAATATAATCTTATTTATATAATCAATAATCTCTATTTCTAGGTTTACTTTTAAACTAAATTAATTCGTTATTATAAAACAAAAATGCTCTTTCGGCTTTTGTGCTGTAATAGTATATTATGTATGAAGTTTGATAAACGCCATTTTATACACGAATTTAATTTAGGCACGAGCGAGCTTGCGAGCGAGTTCTTAAATTAATGAGTGTATAGAAAAGTTTATAAACGAGGTGCATATCATACTTTTTCTACGACAAATACTTATTATTATCTTAAAATGATTTAAATCAAATATTTGTATAGAGCGCCATCTATGAAACAATAGGGGTGTGTACCCGCAAATGTCAAATTTATATATTTTATAAACACAGATTATAAAGGTTATAAATCGAAATGTATTTCTTGAAAATGGACAGTTTTTTACAGTGAAAGTAAAGAAAATGTTTTATGAGTACTTTACAGTGGAGTCCGTGCCGAATTTAAGTTATAGTTTACTGCCGGCGAAATTAAAAGGTCAGTACAATGTTCAAATAAACTTTTCAAATATTGGCGTTGAGAAACTATTTAATACTTTTGTATTTTTGTATTGAGATAATAAAATAATTTTCAAATTTAGTATTATTTTACCAGAAAGGCACTTTATTTTAACGATTGTATGACATCTGAAAACTGTCAACTATCTTAAAACTAACTTCTGCTAACTTCAGCCTATGACTAAAACGACGAAAAGCAACAACTTGTCAATGTGTATTTAAAAGGTCACTTGGTGTCATGGAAACATGTACGATAATGGTCGTTTTAAAGGTGGAAGTAGAAAAAATACTTTATTGCCTATATTTGAATTTTTTTTAAAAACAACCCAATAAATCCGTTTTGACATTATATCTCAAGTACTCTTTTTAAAATTAACCCATTTCGCACATGTTAAGGATTTCTAAACCTTTCTAAGAAACTTATGACTGCGGCTGTTTCTACGAATTATTCCAACTTTCTCCCTATTCCATTATTAATTAAAACCATTATTTGTAGGTAAACACTTCTTACCCAAAGTATTTAGCATTAGCGTTTTGCTTTTACCATATTTTATAAAAATTATTATGCTTAGTGAAATAATCGCAACCCCTAAACTAATACCAAGACGCATCCTAAATGGCTTTTTTAATAGTATATTATGTATCAGGTTTTATAAACGCCATTTTAGTTACGAGTTTAATTAAGCACGAGCGAAGCTTGCGAGCGAGTGTTTAATAAAAACGAGTGTCTAGAGAAGTTTATAAACGAGTTGCATACTATACTTTATCTACGACGAACACAAAACAGAATTTAAAGCCAATTTTATTTGTTAAAATTTTGACATCTGTCAACTGTCACCCGAATTTAACCTCACTTCTTCCCAATTTATAATAAAGCTAACTTCAGCCCGTGACGTAAAATGTCGAAAAGCCACTGTTGTTAACTTCAGCCCGTCAATAAAACGCCATAAAGTTACATCTCGTCAATGTAGGAGTAGATAAAAGTTTCTTTCTACTCCCACCTTTAAAAAGCCCATTATCGTACATGTTTCCATGACACTAAGTGACCTTTTAAATACACATTGATACGTTGTGGCTTTATGGCGTTTTAGTCATAGGCTGAAGTTAGTAACATGTTTTTAGTCAAGGTAAAGTTTTAAGTCGTCACCTGAGAATTATAGTGTTCTATCTACATTTTCTTTTTTTTATCCAGGTTAGTCTTGTTTTAAGTCTTAAAGATGATATTGATCTATCTATATCATATCGTGTAGATGGCGCTAATCGAGTAGGCTGCAGTTTCGTTCGCTCCGTTAAAATTGTTTAATTACGAGTAAAAGACTGAAAGTATAAAGTGAAAAGTGCCTCCAAAAGACTTAATAGAACATAAATAAGTGGTCATCATAAGTGAAAATGAGTAAAAAAGTAAAACCAACTACAAATGCAAACTTAGACATTAAAACCATAGTGAAAGAAGTAATAAGTGAATTTCTAAATGACGACACATTCCTGCAAAAAATAGCAGACAAGGTTAACAAAGAAATGCAACAAAAAATTGGTAAACTTGAACAGGAAATAAAACACATGCAAAACAAAACAAATGAATTGAAAGTAGAAATGAATATCCTTAGGCAAAATGAAAAGAAAAACAATGTCTGCATTCATGGTTTGGAAGAAAATCCTGGCGAAGATATACACAACACCATAATCACCTTTTTAAAAAAGAATGTAAATGGCAATATAGAAGAAAACGAAATAGAAAATGCATATAGGATAGGTAAAAATAAAAACAAAAGAAGGTCAATTATTGTTGAATTTAAATCCAACAAATCCAAAAACAGCATACTTCAAAACAAGAAGTTATTAAAAGGAAAAAACGTGTTTATAACAGAAGACCTAACAAAAGAAAATTTAGAAATTTTAAAAAAATGCCAGGAAAAGTTTGGTTTAAAAAACGCATGGCCTATAAATGGTAAAATATATGCAATTGTAAAAGAAAAAAAATTGTGTATAGAAAGTCTTGGAAAACTGGAAGAAATTTCACCTGAGGACCATGATATAGAAGAAGTTGAAGAACAATCAGAAGAGGAGGTAGAACAAGAATAGTAACTATATTTAAAATTGGAGAAAAGCGAAAAGAAACCAACATAAGCTGTTCTTTAAGTATACATATACATATTTTATATTTTGTAAAAAGTCTTTATTTTTTATAGTATTTTTTTTGTATCTTTATAAAGGGGTTAAGGACAATTGTATTTTATTATATTTTATTTAATGGGGGATTTAGAGGGAATAAATACAGAAGCTTTCGATGACATTGGCAGTTGTGCAAAATACTTAAGTAACAAAAAAGAAAGATTTTTAAATATATTAAGTCTTAATATTAGAAGCATAAAAAAAAATTTTAATGAACTATTAATTTATCTTGAAACCTTAAATTTAGATAATGTTGATATTTTATTGCTTTCGGAGACTTTTATTATAGATAATTTGAAACAATTTTATATACCGAATTTTACTGCATATTATAATAACTCAAGATTTAATCGAAACGATGGTTGTTTATTATATGTAAAAGACACACTTGAAGTAAATGTTAAAAAATTCAGACTGGATGAAACAGTATTATTAAGGTTAACATGTAAAATTAAAAATATTACTTGTGGAGTTACTGCTTCTTACAGACCACCAGGCACTGATACAAAAAAGTTTATTGTAAATTTAAAAACATATCTCGATAACATACACAAAAATAACGTAGAAATATTTGCCGGTGATATAAATATAGATCTTCTTGAAACTATCAACGATGACGTCAACAACTATATTCAACTTTTAACAAGTCATAACTTTTTCTCCTATATAAATGAACCAACTAGAATTCATGCTAGAGTAGATAGGACAGAGATAGGTTTATTGGATCACATTTTCGTTGGACACTTTAATCACAACAATAAGAATAATGTTACTTTTTTTCCTGCTATTATTAAATCTAGTTTAACAGACCATTACACTACATTAATCTCAATATTTTTTTTAAATAATAACAATAAACAAATACGTAGTAAAAAATCAATAACTATAACTAATTTCCAAATGCTAAATGAAAGTTTAAAAAACGAAGATTGGTCCAATATACTTAAATTAAATGATCCTGAGCTTGCATATAATTTGTTTATTGAAAAATTAAATACAAACCTAAATAAAAACCAAACCAAAAAAAACATACAAAATAAAAACACAAAAATTAAACCGTGGATTACACAAGGACTAATCAATTCAATAAGGCATCGTGATTTATTAAAAAAGAAACTAATATCTAATTACACTGAAGAAAATCATAAAACATTTAAAGCGTATAGAAATAAATTAAACAAAATAATAACAAAAACTAAAAACGATTATTATAAAGATGAAATTAAAAAAAATAGTAATAATATAAAAAAAGTCTGGGAAATAATAAACAACGCATCAAATAAATGTACATATAAGGCACAGGAGAAGTATAATATAGTTAATGAGAAGCAATAAAGTATCAAATCTGATAAATTAAAAGCTAACTACTTTAATGCCTTCTTTAGAGATATTGGTGAAAAAATGATTAGACAAATTAATAATGGTAACAAATATAAGTTAGAAACAGAAAAATCGTTAAATAATTCAATCTATTTTAAGGAAATAACAGAAAATGAAGTAATTGTTTACATTTCATCATTAAAAAATAATTCAACACCAGGACCGGACGGCTTAACCGCAAAAATTATTAAATCCATTCACTTAAACATACTCAAACCCTTGGTATTTATTTTAAATCTGATTTTTAAAACAAGTAAAATTCCAGAAGCCCTAAAAAGCTCCACAGTTGTTCCTATTTTTAAATCAAGTGATAAATCTCTTGCCACAAATTATCGACCGATATCTTTAATCAATAACTTTTCTAAAATTATGGAAAAATGCATAAAATCAAGAATAGAGAATTTTTTGGAAAAATTTAAGATTTTAACTTCAAAACAATTTGGATTTCGAAATAATTTAAGCACTGAGAATGCTGTGGTGGAATTAGTAAAAAAGATAACTGGTGAACTTAATTTGGGCCATAAGTGCCTAGTGGTGTTTTTAGACTTAGCCAAAGCATTTGACACTGTCGACCATGAAATACTGCTTCGTAGATTGTCTAACATAGGGATAAGAGGTGAAACAAATAAACTATTAAAAAATTACCTAATGGATAGACAACAAAAGGTAAAAATTAATGAAACATACAGTGATACAATAATAATAAATAGAGGCGTACCACAAGGGACAGTCCTTGGTCCTATTCTATTTTCCATTTATATAAATTTCCTGTATGACATTGACAATCTAAAAGATAATCTTATATCTTATGCGGATGATACAGCGGCAGTATTTTGTGGTCACACGTGGGATGAAACATTTAACTTTGCTAAGGAAGGCATGAGAAAAATAAAAAAATGGTTAGACAGCAGCCTTCTTAGCCTTAATATTGATAAAACAAAATTTATAACGTTTAGCTTGACAAATGCAGGACAACCTAAGAAAGAAAATTTTCAAATTCACTCCAACAATTGTTTAGATAAATGTAAATGCCCTTACATTCTTAAAGTAAACAAAATTAAATATTTAGGCCTAATTATAGATCGAAATCTAAAATGGAAAGCACACATTGAAAACCTCATACTAAGACTAAGGAGGCTGTTTTCCCAATTTTACACACTGAGGTCTTTTTTAAATCATAAAAATCTAATTCTTTGTTACTATGCAATGGTGGAGTCCTTAATAAGATACTGCATAATAGCTTGGGGGAATGCGTTAGATACTACTTTAAAAGGGCTTGAAGTAACTCAAAATATAATTCTCAAAATAATTTATTTTAAAAACCGCTATCATCCTTCGGAGTCACTGTACACGGAACAACTTTGTATTAAAAAAATCTTTGTGTTTCAAGTGTGTTTGTGGATGTTTGAGTCTATTGATAATTTTGACATTCCCAAGCATAACTATTCCACCAGGATTTTGGAAAAAGATGTTGTCAATTTACCTATATTTTATTTTTCAGCCTTACAAAAAGGTATATTTTATTATGGTCCCAAATGGTATAATATTATACCAAAAAAAATTAAAAATTTATCAAAAAATCTACGTAAAGCCGATTTAAAAACGTTTATACAAAAATCTGATCTGAATATATTCTACAAGTTTCTGAGGTAATAAATAATAAATAGTTTTGTATATGTATATAGGTACATATTTTATAATCCTTTAATTTTATTTAATACGTGACTGTCACTTTCTCCACGCCAATGTCATCGAACGTAGTGTTTTGCTTGTTTTGTTTACCTTTTTTATATATAAATATTATTGTATTACAAATATTTAAAATTTAATTGAAATAAATGTAGCACTGTATAGTAAAAACATAATTTTAGTTCATCACACAAGAATGTATTTATAATTTTTTCCATTTATTATAATCTGCAGCACAAATCCTTTTGGATTTAGGCAGAATCAAACTTAAAATATAATTTAACTTTATAAAATAAGAATGTACAATAAAAAATGTAAAAAAAATGTAATTATGATGATGATAAATAAATAAATAAATAAATAAATAAATATATAATTGGGGTAGAAATTGTAAAGTTTAAGGCTTAAACTTTAATACTTAAAACAAGACTAACCTGAATAAAAAAAAGAAAATGCAGATAGAACACTATAATTCTCAGGTTAAATGTCATATAATTGTCAAAACAAAGTGGCCTTCTTTTAAAATAATACCAAATGTAAAAATTGTTTTATTATTTCAATTAGGGTTTTAAAGTGTCGAAAAAAAAAAACGGAAAAATAGGAAAAAAATCTTTTTTTTTTCGTTTTTCCCAGGCCTTGGAAAAAATGGCATTTTTGAAAAAAAAATGGAATTTTTATTGGAAAATGTACATATTTGAAAAAAGTAGCAACTTAACAACTTAACATTATTTTAATTTAAAGAATATCCTTACTGAAAAAAAATAAAACTGAACATTGAATTAAATTCAGGGGTTACATACATTTGTGATGGGTCAAAAAATCGTTTTTTTATTGATTATTCTTACAACATATACTTTTAAGAATATGTACTTAAATCTTCATCAAGATCGGAGCACTAGAACTTATGTTATAGCAATTTATAGCGCGCTACCTCACTAACATTTAAAGGCAAATTGAATGAACTTAAAACTTCAAACGCGTTTATCTCGGAAGCATGATTTCTCGAAAAACAATTGACCGATCGATCTGAAAGTGTTGTTCCTAATTACAATATCCCCTTCGTGAATTAAGGGATTTTTATTCGGACGAAAATTTCTATTTTTTTCGGCCGGAAAACTCGAAAATCGATTAATCGATTAATTTTTACGAGCTCATGACTCATGAGTCATGAGCTCATGCATATGTATGTAACCCCTTAAAAATTGATTTAAGAAAATAAACTTAAACGTTAAATATACTGTCGGTTGGATTGAAAAATACTGTCGGTTGCATTGAAAATATCTAATTACAAAATAATGAATGATTTATAAAGTTAAATTACAAAATTATAATTTTATAAATCGAAGTGTCAAATAAAACGAAATATGTTTTTTTGCGACCCAGTAGAATATTCTTACTGAGTTAAAATAAAAGGAATAATTATTATAATCATATTATGATTTTATTCAGCGTCGGAACTTTGTTTTCGATATCAGTGTAGGTACGGATAGCATCCGTAAAAAATTGGAAATTTTCAGAAAAAAATACTTTTGTATTTTTTCATATTACCCTTTGAATAAAATTTAAAAAATGCAAAAGTCAATTTTTCTTATCTCAATACAAAAATACAACAGTATTAAGTTGTTTCTTCTACAATATTTAGTGAACTAGATTTAACTAATTAACCATTAAATATTTGGCACCGTGGAGTGCCCATAAAACATTATCTTTACTTTCACTATGAAAAACTGCTTCTATATCTGATTTAAACACTAGTTAGTCCATTTTTAAAACATACATTTCAATTTATGGCCATTCCACGCTTAACTGATAGGACAGTTGCCGTGTTTTTATTTACAAAATAATATTGTTCTATTATATTACCAATGTCAAATTTTTATAAATAGTTCTAAACTAAAGCTGTTTAACAAGGTTTTAATTTGGCAAAATTAGGTATCGTGATTGACTATTTAATTCCTTAAAAATTAATAATTTAAAGCGTAACGGGCGGGACTATTACAAAGTTTTGCTAAATAAAAACCTTGTTAAACAGCTTTAGTTTAGAACTATTTATAAAAAATTGACATTGGTAATATAATAGAACAATATTATTTTGTAAATAAAAACACGGCAACTGTCCTATCCGTTACGCTTGGAATGGCCCTTTACTCAAAATAAAAAATTACATTTTGATCGGAAATTGTTACTTTATCGTTTTATAGGTGTCGCTCCATACAAATATTTAATTTAAATCATTTTTAGATAATAATAGAATTTGTCGTAGAAAAATTATAGTATACAACTCGTTTATAAACTCATTAAATTAAACACTCGCTCACAAGCTCGCTCATGCTCCTACTATAAAAAACAAATGCGATAATTGTCACTGTAGCCAAGCGAATAAAAAAACCCTAAGTTTATTTAGGGCTAGAGATGTAAAAAAACGGTTTTTTTCAGATGTGAAAAAAACATGAAAAAAAACTAGAAAAAAACGGTTTTTTTTTGTTTTTTTTTCAAAATGAAATTTTGAGTAAAATGTAGAAAATATTACATTTTTCATTATTAAAAATTTTGACCAAGACTAAAAAATCTGATTTCTTATTATTTGGTAGTTTCCACATTAAAAACCAATAGCAATGTAATACAAAAAATTAAAGGATTAAACATTTTTGTTGCGATTTTTCGGATAGCTGTATATTTGTTAAAATTGGTCGTATTGGAGCCGTAAAAAAAGCAATTTGAAGCTTCAAGTTTATAGTTTTGAGATTTTTAGATGAAAAACGAACGCTCAATTCTAACAAATACCGTAATAAAAAAAATCGATTTTTTTTATTTCTTTTTTTGGTCCACGGAATGTTCTGACTTAACCACCAATGAATAAATGTTCTACAAGAATTTCCGTACTCTACATAAATGTGAAAAATCATAAAAAAAGTGCTTTTGGTAGCTTTTTGAAAAATCAAGCGCTGAATCAAAAATATTATATGTAGTTACTTTTTTTAGGACCAAATCAAAACAAGCGCGGCCCTTATTGGTGGTTGTTGCGAGTACATAACGCGAGACTGTATTTACATTTAATAATTGTCATTTAGTGCCTGATTAGTGGCTAATTTTAGACCATGGAAACATAAAAAATTAGGCAAATGGAACTAATCTTGAAAAAAAACATAAAATGTGAAAAAAAAAACCATTTGAAAAAAAACATTGAAAAAAAACCTGAAAAAAACAAAAAAACCGGACCGTTTTTTTTCAAGTCGCATCTCTAGTTAGGGCTGTAGTACGTGAATTGACAGTACATGTATTTTTTATTTAATTTTTATGTAAGTTAAATATATCCCTATTCCAATATGGTTTTTCTTTTGAATTAACCAAATAAAGCCTTTTTGTGTTGTCATAATAATATGCAAAAAAAAATCCAACACACACGGTAAATTGATCAATAACTTTTAAAGCCAAAAAATCTTATTTAGTGTGTTTTACTAAAACTTATTTTCAGCCCTTTTCATCTCTCATCATCAATTATAGAGCTTAGTGGATAAACATGTTATGTGTTAAGCAAAAAGGTGCTTAGCACGGCAATATCACATGTTCATCCATCAAGCTTTTCAATTGTTCGTACTTCCCGCCCTTACACTTAACTGCGCTATTTTTCAGCCGAGCATAGTACAAATACACACTTGATTGACAATGAAATTTCAGCGGGCTACTCGGAGGACAGCGACTACACCTCGGACCTGAACTATCCGGTGGGCCAGCACGCCAACTCTTCGGCGTCGCAGTTCCGCACCGCCGCGCACCAGATCCACACGCCGCAGCGGTCGCTCGAGACGTCGCGCGAGAACTCGTACGAGCGGGACGACGGACCGCATCCTCATCACCTTCCGGCGCCGCCCGCCACCCATCAGCACCGCCTTAGTCCGGGCACGACGCATAGGCATCGGCTGCAACAGGTCAGTTAACATAAAAGTATCCTTCCTTCTAATAAAACAAAATCAAAAATAGACAAATAAACCGAAAACTGGGTGAAAACAAACAAAAGACTTGAAACTAGGGACTACTTGGGTCATTTTCAAGAAACACCCGCTTTCAGGAAAATGAAGATCAAATTTTTTTTACGTTTTTTTTCAGAAAAATGTGTTTAGCTAGCTTTATATAATTCCACTGTGTAACCAATTTGAAATCCAAAATTTAATTCAATAAAAAAAGTTGTTATAAAAATAATTTGAAATAAAATTTACTTGATTCACAAACTTTTGACTCCAATTTTATTTTTTATTATTTTAGTCACTGTATTAGTGAGTTAATCCACTCTAAAGTTTAGACAACTTTAAGGTGGTGTCAAAAGTGGTCATAACATTTCAGATGCCAGACTAATACACCAAAAAGTTATAAAACAATAAAGTATATTCTGCTGGTGCAAATCACATGATTACAACTATGCTAATATAATATGGAGGTATTTTAACTGTATCATGGTAGATTTAGTTATTTAAACGTTATTGCCACTCATTTAAAGTGGTGATATCAGTTTTCGTCACTATAATGCTACTTGGGCAAAGTGAGGTTCCATTAAATTGCAATTCAAAAACCATTGGCAAAAATCCTATCTTGGACGACAAGAACGCTTTAGATTGCCATTTTTCTACGGTGGAGCAAGGCAAAGACATCATGAGGTTGCTGGCGTCTAGAATATCTTTGTTTATATAAACGTGAAATTTTTCTTCTGTTACAATTTGCAGTTTCATAAGCAATGTGCATATCGGCAAGACCTTCAACTGAAAAATTATTGTCATTTTTTAAAAGTTGCAGTTGCAGAAAAATTAATAAATTCAAAACCATATAACAAAAAAAAAACACAAAAATATTATTTTTAATCAAGCGTATCATATCATATCATATTATATAATATTGTCAAATTTTACCGGCGCCGGTATTGAAGGTCTTTAAACCCATTTATTTTTGTGTTCTCTATTCTTTTTTTATTAAAAAATGATACTTAAATGTGTAACTAAAATTGGCTTAAATCCAAAACAAAGTTTTGTTTAATATAAAAGTAATGCACATTTTTCTAGACGTGAATACGTAAGTTAGATCACATTACCAATTTAACCAATCAGAACGATGGACGTGGATTATAGTTTGTTCATGGTGGCATGTCTCTAGCCACTTTGTTTATTGTTTTGTTTTATTTTTTTATATTTATTTGAATTTTTCTTTATATAAATGTCTTTTTAAATATTATTTTATATTTTTGGTTTTTATTTGTATTTTTTTAAGCATTTTTAGTAAATTTTTAATATTTTATTTTTTCTATCGTTTGGTATTTCTGTTAAAAACAAGTAAATAAATAAAGTTGCCAAGAATATTAAATTTTGTTTTATATATTCTAAAGGGTGGGCCATGTTTATGTTGAATTATAAAATAGCAATGAGAACAAGAAAAACTGATTTTTTTTCAACGAATTTTGCTTTATTTGATACAATGTTCCTTCCGATTAAGTATGGAAAATGATTTTATTTAAGTGGCCACCTCAGCTGGCTCGGCAGTAGCCCATCCTGGAACACCAATTTTCGAGCACTTTGTCAAAAGTTTTCTGCTCTATTTAGGCAATTTGAGCTTAAATGTTTTGTTTTAAATGGTGAATAGGCTTTGTTACGGTGAAGTGTGGATTTTCCGTGGCCCAAATCCTACAGTTTTGCTTGTTGACATAACCTCCGAGGTAAAAATGCGCCTTATCCGAAAAGATGATTTTTCTTGCAAAATTATGGTCATCGTTCAACTGGTTTAAAGCCCACTCAGCAAAGCGAAAACGTTGTGGATGGTCAACTTGCTTTAAATCCTGAACAAGCTGGACTTTGTACGCAAACATACCGAGGTCTTTGTGCAGAATCATCCTCAGAGTGGTACGGGAAAGGCCGAGTTGTTGACATCTGCGCCGAGTTGGTGTTGACGCGTTCATGCGTACATTTTCGGCCACAGCAGCAATTGCTTCAGGTGTACGTCTAGGACGAGCATGCGAAACATGTTTTATGTCCACCAGCATTCCATTTCTGCGCAATTTTTTTCATCAAATTTGTAATACTTTGGTTTGACGGCCCCTCAAATCTTCCAAACGCAATTTTCTTGCCGTCTCTGCGATCACAGTCACATTCAAAGTAAGTTTTGAGTATTTCGAAACGTTGATCCAAATTTATTCGGTGCATATTTTGTAATCGGAAGGTTAAAACTAAACCACTGTCAACAATTCATGGCGCTTAAGTTGAAAGCTTCATTAATAGCACGTATGTAGTTTAAAATTCAACTTATAGATGGCCCACCCTTTATTTTTTATAATTAAAAATTAATAAAATTTTATTATTTTTTAAATTTTTTGGTTTTGACATAAACTTCAAATGCTGAATTTAAATCATGTCATTGATGACAAAGTTTTTGTTATCCTCTAAAGTTTTCTATGATAAACACATGGCTAGTCGCTACACTAATAGTGGCATTACTTTTTATCTTGTACTTTGTATTTTTAGCGCTATTCTCCAAACGCAGAAGACTACGTGGGCTACGATAATTTACAAACAGGCCAAACTTCCAGGATTCAATATCAAGACAGCACTGGCGATTCGGAGCCGCTTTTTTACAATAGTAGGCCTCGTACAAGGACCGACTATTCCAGGTAAATACATTAAACATAATCTAAATATTGTTGACTTGTTGAAATAACATATTCTATAAAAGTGATGTTTTGGCTTTTCTATAGGTTAATTAAAATTGCCCTATACCTATTTATTTTTACATTTTGCATTTTTAGAGAAATAATAATTTATAATTAAAAACAATTTTAAATTTATTTTATAGGTTAATTAAAATTGCCCTATACCTATTTATTTTTACATTTTGCATTTTTAGAGAAATAATAATTTATAATTAAAAACAATTTTAAATTTATTTTATTAAAAAAGAAATAGGTATTATTTTTTGTAAAAAAATTAAAAATTTATTTTATAATATATACCTATACAGGGTGTTATGAAATTAATGTTATATATTAAAATACTGAATACCTTTTGACATAAGGAGTAAAGGAAAAATATTTAAAAAAATATTTTATCTCCACGCGGTCTATAATATTGTTATCAACATTCGATAAAGAAATACCTTGTTATGGCCTAGGCCGATAAAAAATTTTATGAGGCAAGTAATTAGTTCGATTTTTTCTCGCTAGGGGTATTTTTTTGACAAATTAATCCTTTTCTAAGAAATTAAGGTACCAAACTGGTTTAATTTATTTATAATAAGCACTAATTTGTTTGTTTTACTGTTAATGTCTAATATTTTTTCATTAAATTATTGTAAAATAAAATATGAATAATAAAACAAAAAGTGAGGTTAGGCAACCCAGGAAACGCTTTTTCTACGATTTAAATTATCTTTAAGTTTTAATTTGCTTTAAGTTTTTAGTGAAATTAAATGTTAAACACAGCTTTAACATTCCAAACTACCTATTTTTTAAATAAAAATCCAAACAAATTGAAATTAGATACCTACCTATTTATTAACGCTGTGACTAGAGGCACGCTAACGTGCCGCGATTCGAAATGTTAAAGGTACGTTAGTTACGTCATAAATCCAAACCATCCCAAACTCAACTTCGCTCAATTGTAGGCCTCCGCTACGCGTCGGCCTTCAAACCTTGAGCTTAGCATAAAAAGACTTACTTCTTAACCTAATGACATAAATAACTATTTCCAAAGATAAAGAAAAAATATGCATTAGATGTTTTTTATATTTTTTGTGATACGCCACTGGGTACACACTTGGTTTATCTCTGCACCCTTGTGTTCTGTGAGTACATAGATACCAACCAACAAAGTATCTGCGCGTTGCCAGATGTAAAAAATTGTTACTAAAAATTTTTCTTGCATAAAAACTTAATAAATACAAGTTTTATGCCCTTAAAGCTCTAATACCCTTCTGTATTTATTTACTCATCAAGCTATTAGCTTAAGCAATGATTAGAAAATTTAGTACCTATTTAAAAAAATCCATGACCACAAAATATATTTTTCATCGGTTTTTTTCTTTCTGTTTACTCAGATGAAATTGGGACCAGTTTACAGGTTAAACTTTAAACATTTAATTTGTGTAAATAAATCCTAAAGCACTTCCCTTAGTTAAGATATTTACAATTTGAGCACAGAACCTAAAATTTGAAAGAAATGCACTAAATTCTGTCATAAAAGTTGGCAGATTTTGTTTGAATTTACCTTCAGTACAAAAATGACATAACCAACAATTAATAAAAACGCCAAATTGACAATTTGCATTGTTAATTTTATCATTTTTGTAGTTAAGCTAAATTTAAACTATGTTTCTCAATTTTTTTTACAGAATTTCGAAACGCTGTTGTTACCAACCATAACATAATGAATTAAATTAGGCAACCCGATTAGCCTAAAGTTCCTAGTCGATCAGTGGCTTACTGTTTGGTAGGATAAGGGTTATTATAAATTATTTTTAGTTTTTGAAATTTAGAAGAAAAAAGTTTCAGGTGCTTCTTTATGGACCCTACGGAACAACCCATTTCAATATATAACATTAATTACATAACACCCTGTATATTTATACAGTGTGTCCCGCTTAAGACCTTACCACCCTCGTAAAATTTGCATTTTTCAACCGATTTTCGTAAACTTTTTTTTGTTGGATAGATCTCTGAAAAAGGCTTTAATCACATATATCACTTGTTTTGACGACTAAACTCATGGCCAACTATGATCTCTTCTTGGGGTCGAAATTTCGAAAAGTACTATTAGGGATTTTTTTAGAGAAAAAGTGACCACGGATTATTGTTCGGGGCCACTTATAACCCCACTATATCAATTTTTACCGTTCTTAAATACAGGGTGTTCCAGATGGACGTTTTTTAATTTTTTGATAAAAACCTCCTAAAATTTGAATTTTTCAACTGATTTTCTTAAACTTTTTTTGTTAAAAAGGCTTATTCGGGACCACTTAAAACCCCACTACACCAATTTTTATCGCTTTGAGATACAGGGTGTTCCAGCTGGACATGTTTTAATTTTTTGATAAAACCCTCGTAAAATTTGCATTTTTCAACGGATTTTCTTTTAACTTTAAATCAAAAATTGGTGTAGTTGGGTTTTAAGTGGTCCCGAATAATCCTTTTTCAAAAAAAAAAAGTTTAAGAAAATCGCAAAATGCAAATTTTCCGAGGTTTTTATCAAAAAATTAAAAAACATCCTTTTGGAACACCCTGTATTTAAGAACGATAAAAATTGGTATAGTGGGGTTATAAGTGGTCCCGAACAATAATCCGTAGTCACTTTTTCTCTAAAAAAATCCCTAATAGTACTTTTCGAAATTTCGACCCCAAAAAGAGATCACAGTTGGCCATGAGTTTAGTGGTCAAAACAAGTAACATATGTGATTAAAGCCTTTTTCAGAGATCTATCCAACAAAAAAAAGTTTACGAAGATCGGTTGAAAAATGCAAATTTTACGAGAGTGGTAAGGTCTTAAACGGGACACACTGTATATTAAATTTTCTGTCCAACTACAAAATTTTTGTCAGAAAATACTTTTAATATAATAACAAATTTCCTATTAATCTAACAATATTTTAAAAATCTATACAAAAATTAAAAATCCACCAAAAAAATTAAAAAATAGTTAAATAAATGTGATTTTAAAGCAGGCGCAGAAAATATGCAACTGAAACTGATGAAAGGTAATAAATTAGAAAATTTTTTTAAAATAGATAATTAATGTACACTGCTTTTATATGCAAATAAAAATATACAGCGTGTCTCTTAATGCAGGTCATTTTGTGAAAAAGTTCATGAGTCGTCCAAATGCAAACGCCGCGGTGTTTGCATTTGGACGACTCATAAACGCGCCGTAAACACAAAAAATACGAATGCATGCATACACCTTTTTTGTCTTTTAATATTTTAAAATGCTGGTTTCGGCGTTTGTATCTGGACCACTAATACATAAAGGGGAATAATATTAAACCAAGCAAACTCCATTTGAGTAAAATTTTCATAAATAAAAAATACGCTATTAAAGTATTCCCTTGAAAAAAGTAAATGTACTTATTAATATGGGCAATAATTGATGGTATGATATTTTTACTCAATCATTTCAACTGGACTGGAAAATTTTGATGAATGTGATAAAATTTGCTAATAAAGAATATTGGAGTTTGATGTGTTTGATATTAGCCCTATTAGCTTAAATTTTTGCGGTACAGGATTTTGACAGTTTTACTTTTAAATATCTTCAATGAATAATATTACCAATTTAAATGGGTATTAATATATAATATAAATAATTAATAATTAATACTATTAATGGGATATATAACCGGGAACACTACATATATATAGTGTTCTTGTAAATATACAACTACACATTTTAGTTATAAAAATTATCCTACTTCTCCACCAGTGGCGTGCCTGCAAATTTTCTGATTTGTTTTACAGATCAATCAAATGCTGCTTCTTAAGTAATTTGGTGCAAATCTGTAGTCGGGTTTACTCCATCAGGTTAGGTTTTTAAGAATCAAACCCAAAATGAAAACTCTGTTTTTTTTAATATAACCATACAAAGTAGGGGAGATTATTATTTTATTTATTATTTTTTCTACGACCACTATGAAAAAGTCACATTTTGTAATGGCATTGTTGCTTAGAAAATGAATCTTTTCATTGGCAAGGCAAAACACAAATGAAAAGTGACATTTCTATGGAACGCCGTTTTAGTTTTTATTATCATAATACTTCATATAACATTTAAATTCAAATTAATTTTAATGGTACATGCGATAATGGAAATCAACCAATTTTCGTTAAGGGAAATGTAATTTTTGTTTTAAACTAAAATATGAATTCCCATTAATAAAATAAAGAAAGATATTTACTCATTATCTGAAATAACTGTTCAATTTCCGTTAACGGAAATCAATTTCCGTTAACGGAAATCAATTTTCGTTAACGGAAATTGAATTAGATTTATCGAAAACCAAATAAATGCAAAACTAAGATATTTGTCGTTTAGTTTCAATTTTCTTGGTATATGTATTTTTATTCTACTTTAATTTCAATGTTACATGAATTTATTTGATACACAAGGGTCTGTGCATTAATTTTCATTATCGGAACTAGCGCCATCTAGTGATACCCCGGTGAACTAGCGGTAGTTCATATGCGCCAAGATTTTTAAATAGTTCTGCAAGGTTAAAAATTTACCAACCCTCATTTTCGTTCGATTTTTTCTTTCGTGTGTAGTCAGCTGATGCGTTGGTTTTTAAATTATTGAATTAAAAATTGATTTTCCATAGATTAACTATTGTAATATTAATCGTAATTAGGGTAGTCACTTTAATTTTTAATAATATAGTAGGTAGGGACTCTTAAAAATTCGTATAAAAAACCAGATTTTTACCAGAAAACGCTATATTCCGTATTTGCAATCAACAAACTAAAAAAAACCGTAATTTTCTGGGAAAACCGTATACATGGCAACCCTGGGCCATAAACTACCATCAACAAATCACAACAAAATTTGTTGTGCCACCTGAGAATTAGATTGTTCTATCTCCCAAAATTCAAAGAGGAACAAATAGCAATTTAAAGTTTAATTTATATACAAA